TCACAACCAACTAGTAAACCTTAACAACCAACATCGGTAAGGAGTTGGTTGTGAAGGTTAGCTTCACAACCAATGCGTAATCTTCACAACCAACCGGTAACCTTAACAACCAACCCGTATCATTCACAACTAACCCGTATCATTCACAACCACCCCGTATTATTCACAACAAACGTGTAACCTTCACAACTAACGCTTATCCTTAACAACCAACCCGTAACCTTAACAACCAACCCGTAACCTTCACAACCAACATGTATCCTTCACAATCAACCCATAAGCTTAACAACCAACGCGTAAGCTTAACAATCAACGCTTAACCTTAACAACCAATGTGTAACCTTTACAACCAACACGTAACCTTAACAATCAACCCGTAACATTAACGAATTATCAAAAAGAAAGAAAAATTACAAAAATAAAAAAAATCACCATTAATATCATGAAGAAGTTATCTCCTCCGCGTAAACTTGCTCCCTGCAGAAAGAACCAAATTGGTCATAATAATCACTGATTGCAATGCATGCAAATGCAATTAGGGGTTCACGTTTATATTTTTTGGATCTAGTGAGAGCGAATATATTGGAGAGGGTTAGGGGTTATATATATTTTTTGGTAAGAGAGAGAGAGACTGATGCAAAGGGACAATTTAATTGAGAAAAAAATAATTAATACAAACTTCAAGTTATGTATAATCACAGCAAGTAGATATACCGAAATAATAGCATTACCATCTAGACATAAAACCCAACAAAGGAAATATCTATTTTTGATAAAAGGAAATCAAAATTTTAATTGGGAATCATCAAAAGACTACCGCTAAATAGAAATCTTCACAACCAACGCTTATCCTTAACAACCAACCCGTAACCTTAACAACTAATTTGTAACCTTCACAACCAACGCGTATCCTTCACAACCAACCTCTAACCTTCACAATCAACTCATAACCTCCACAACCAACGCGTAAGCTCCACAACCAACCAGTAACCTTCAAAAATCCCAGAAGCTCTACGCACGCTCGGTCGCACTCTCCGGAGGTGGAGGTTGAGGACCAGAGGTGCTTGCCGACGGCAAGGCCGACGTAGAACGTGATGTAGAAGGCGGTGGCGACGCTAGGGTTTAGGGTTAGGCATCGGTGGGAGAGCATGCGGCGGTGGTAGATGATCTCGGTGGAGAACCAGGTTGGGAGGAGGACTGAGG